CCGACGGAAGTCCTCCAGTATCTTACAACAAGCACAGCTATTTCGGACAGCGTGTCCAGTTGTCTCGAATTTTTTTTTTTTTTTTTTGAAATTTTTGGATTTTTCTTCGTACTGAACTACAGCCGAGGAGGTACAGCTGTCATCAGTAGTTCAGTTCTGACAGGTCCAGTACAGTAAAAAAATAAAAAAATAAAAAATAATTTGCGAGTCCAAGTGGACAACCCTTTCCGAAATATTTCTCTCTTCTTTGTACCAACACAAGCCTGCTTTCTCTTGCTGCTTAGTCTCATCAACCATGAGTCTGTTGATTGTCTGAACTTGATGTCTCAATGTCCATTATTAATGTGTATGTAAGCTCTAGTGTTTGCCCATGTTGGTCTCTCCTCATGCTTCTAGAAATCTATCGATCTTACTACAAGTCATCCTTTACAGTCACTGACTCCGCGAATCGGACTAAGACCAAAGGTTTCCTGGACATTCAAGCAGTCTCTGCCAAAAGGCCCGATCGCCAATCAAGCACAAATGACAACAAACATCTGACAAATGAAAGACCAGATGCACTTGGCGAGGCAACCCAGCCACGTTCATGTGACTTCAAGAACGATACTTGGAGCGCCAACCCAACCGACTAGCAGAGAAATGAAACCTGGAAAGAGGCAGCCCAATGGATCAAGTCAATCAAGTCGGTCAACGATGACCCCTGAAGTCATGCGGAAGGCTCGGTGAGAGCTGGCACGTTGCTAGGCATGCGCAGCGCATGAAAAGTTTGAGAGATGAGTTGAAATGGTAGGCATGATTCTTTAGGACTCATAAGGACTATTCATTAAACAACAGGGGGGGAGCATGTGACGGTTGTTGGTAGTGAAGTAATCTTTCGTAGCGACCGGATCGTTCCAGTCGATGTTCCGACAGTCGGTGAGAGTGGTGGAAGTCGAATGACGAAGCGGGAGTCCTGTTATGCTGTTGCGGTTGTTGGCAGGCGCTCGGGCACTGGCGGGTTGATCATTCTGAAGAAAGCAAATTACCGTTGTTAGCTATGTCACGAAGGCTAACGAACAGATAGGGATAGATCAATGTGAAACGTGAAACACGAATCGTTGGGAAATACTTACTAGATCGAGCGCGCATTTTTCTTCTTTTGCGTTTCAAACGACGAACACGTTTCTTTTTCCACTTGTCTCTCCTGATGGTGGTAGGGGATGAGCGGCCAGGGAGAGAAGGAGTTAGTCAACTGGGCTGTGTGAATGATAGATACCGGAATGTACTGACATGATGGCAACCGGGTGCGTGAGGTGGAAGCGCTGAGGGAAAAGGGAAAAGGCCTGCAGGCTCAGATCGAGTTGAAGAAGTGCTCAGCGGGGTTAGGTTTGGGAGACCTAATTGTCGGTGTACCCACCGAGATTCGCCAGTTTGTCCGGCTGTGCTGTGGGCTTCCGCAGCGAGAACGCCGCTGCATGGGGATGTCACAAGGCTATGGATGTACAGCCACATAATGTGCTCTGTCACAGGCACATGGGTGTCACCCCCCATCCGAGCTGGCTCCCGTCTATCGCTGGGGGCCATGCAAACCAAACCCCTTTGGAATTGCAAGTCAGCCACTGTCAGCGATAAGGCTCGGCAATCTGGCTTGTAAGCTGTGTTGTAACCCGGCGAGGGGTTACCGAAGGTCTCACCTAGGCCCCCTCTGCCAGCATGTACATAGTCTATAGCTAGCCTACATACATGCAATACTATTATCGAAGTCTCTCCCTTTTGGCCGTTTCTCATCAAGTTGATGGTCAGCCCAAGACAGTTAATTATGGTGATCTCTAACCATAGTTGAACAGAGATTGCGAGATGCCATGCGGTCCGAGCAGGCTACAATTGACAAATCAACGCGGTAACTGATAATCACGAAAATCAAAAATGCTTATGCCGCAAAAGAGGAAAGAAGTTATGGTCTGCTGGAGCTTCCAAGCTTGAAGCATCACTTCAAACTTTTCGAGCCTTGAACAACTGCATATTGTACGTTTGCGAAAACCCTTGTTGCTCAACTCACGGTACATGTTCATAAGCTATCAGCTTATCGGGCTTAATTTCTATGTCACCGGTCAGCTGTTACTCCTTCGTGTTTCATTGAGCCGGATGGCCAGCGCCCCCTAGCGAAACTGGGAGTCTGATACCCTTTTTCCACGGTCCCATCGGGCCATGAAGTCAGCGGGGTTTCACTTACATCTGCCCGCTATGTTGGTATGCGATGTGCCAAGCTGACCCGGCGTCAATTTTTCTGGAAAGGTGATAATTATGTGTGAATTGACCGTTGCGCTTTGCACCGTTCCCTCCGGCTCTCATCCGACATGTCGAACGCGGGGTATAATGTAGTTCGGGGGCAATTGGGACTGGACTGAGTCTTCAGCGATCAGATTCAAGCTAAGGAAGATTGGGTCTTGCCTTTATCGTGGTTCACAATACACCGTCAGGAGAGCCCTCGATCCGCTTCCAACAAGCTACAGCGTACGCCAGGTTGCACATCCCATCTAACTCTTAGTTGCACTACTGGATATCCCCTGATGTTTAACTGGGTATCACTGTATCAAGTAGCAAAACCGATGTATAGTATGGCCATCCACAACAATAGACCATTTATGCCCCTGAGATTCATTGCGCTTGCTTAAGCCAGTCCTGCGCCATCCTGAGTATGTAAAGTTGAAGTTGACGCTTTCGTTGGACTCAGGTCTGTCCGGCCGATAGTTTTCAGGCTCAGTGAAGCAGCACAGTTTGAGTATAAAGGAGGAGTCATCTCGAGTCTCCAATGCTCATTCCTATGTACTTCTCCAGCCATCCAGCCATCATCATGTCTTGCTTCTATAAGATGCGAATCAACATTCCACGTCCCACAGGTACCAGTATCCGAGCTATGCTTGCGCAAAACCACTCACTTGACCCCTCTGATGACTCCCTGCCAACATCATCCAATTCTCATAGGCTCCCGGTGATGCCGAATCCCGAACATCCTGATACAAATGCTCTCCACTCTGTTTCGACCGATATTTCGAACGATACTTCGGACTCGACCAACACCTACGGTAGAATATCAACTCCCGCTGAGACTCTAGGCGTCGCGGTAGCTGGGATCGTCGTAGTAATTGTGCTGTGCATACTCGCACAGATTTTGGCTATCCGAGTCAAAGGACGTCGGCAGTGCAGGGAGATTCACTGGGATTACCCTGCCGCGAAGTCGAACCCTAGCGCCCCAGACCCAGTTTCTGAATCGGGTGGGAGCAACTTGACCACAAGCACTACTCGTCGACCTCTAACAGAGGCTGCCTTGACCCGGAAAACGAGCTTCAAAACCAAGTTGCATAGCCTCTTCCGAAAAATATCTCCCTTCAAGTTCCGTAAGGCTGAGACAAATTCTATGGGTCTTGCATCGTTGGATAGACGAAATACTGCGTAAGCTCTCGCTAATCCAAGATTCATTAATGCATCTTTGAAAAACGACGAACAAATCAAGAGTTCCGGCATAGACAATGGAGGCACTTAAATTTTCCTCGTCTTCTTTTTTTTTACATGCGCGCAAAAGACTGAGTTTTTACATGCGCGCGAAAGACATAGGAGCTCGACCATTCTGCGAGGCACGTAAATGAGAACGGGGAGGAAGTATGCGTCGAGTCAGCATAGGCGTCTCGGTTTACGTTCGAGTAAAAGTTCCGGGAGGAAGTTCACCTGCAGGTTTGATGAATCAAGAATCGTGTTCAGAAGCGGATAATCGTCATCAATCGTGTTCTCAGCAAGCGCACTCACTTATTTTTTTAAATGATATTGTCAATTTGTCTGAGTATCTAGGAGGGGAATGGACATTTTAATTTTTTATGTTGATTGATAATATTTTCAAACCATGTTGTATAACCTTTGATTTTTTTTTTGGTCAAATTAAACAGATTAGTTTTATGGACTGAATTTCAATTGGAATTATCATATGCCACATCCAAAATTCTTTAAGCAACATCCTTTGATCGGGGGGAGTCCAGATCAGGAAAAGTGTACTTTCACTTGCAGCTTTCGCCGCAAAATTCAATTCTGGTAAATTCTGTTGGAGTAATTTTGCCCTGGTTCAAAGGTGAGTTCTTCAGGGTTAGCAAAACAAATAGAAAATGCATCAGATCAAGGACATATGGCTATGTACGCTTTCCTTTTCCCCTGACTTGGACCCCTTTGCACTCCTGCCAGATGCCAGCGTTTCCAGGAGAAATAGAATCGCCGTTAATTAATTATTATTGAGAAAATAAATCACATCAAGCCCTCCGGCTTACAGCTCCAAACATGAGCAAGGGTGATATAAAAGATTCTGGATCAGAGGTTGATGATCAGACATGTCGCTCTAGACTGGTATGTAGGAGCTAAAATGTGCTAGAGCTGAGTTGAAGACAACTGAAAGAAATCAAGTAAGGAAAAAAGTACGACAAAAGGAAACTGGATCGGTTGGCGTTAGCAGGTGAGATGGAAGAGGAACTATCGGCGCAAATGAAAAATTCCAACATCCGATTCCTACGTAAAATCGTATGTTGATGAATGGAAGTCTTGAAATTCATCAACATACCAACATAACTAATAATTCAAGTAGCTCGACCTCGGAGAGTTTGCCATTCATTTGCGCCGGTGCTTCCTACGGGAGTTGTCGCTCCATTCCTGAGTCTCCTCCCGACGAGAGTTGTGCGAAAACTGGGTTGTGTGGATTCATTTATTTACTTGTGTCGAAGCTCCGATAGAATCGAGACGGTCGACACACAGACCCCATCGGGATCCGGAGCGTCCCTACGCAACAGCGGCCCCGCTCCGGCAGAGCGATTCAGAGACCTCAGCGGCGAGTGTTCGTCTTGGATACAGTATACATAGAGGCACGATTGATGCTGCAGTCCTTAGGGACACGGCGACGTTCGTGAGCTATTCCGGATCGCTGCCTACCGTGTTTATTCGCTGAGAACCGCTCAAGACAAAAACTATGGAAACTGGTTGGGAAGTGAGACCGTTCTGTCTGAGCAAATGCTTGTCGTATCAGATTCAGAGGTACCAAGATGATTGATATCATCATTCGGAGTCTTGCAGCAGTATTCGTTCACATATTCCTGAACAGAGGACCAGAGCAGATCGCTCCAGTGTGCTTTAGGTTTGCTTTAGCAGGGTTACGACTGATTCAACCAGCTTGCCTTGAGTTGATATAATGAAAATTGACGCAACAAATTCCTGGTATCTTGTTCGACAAACCGCATTGTAACGACGGTTGCTGGTCCTCGGAATCTAAACAACTTCGCTACATGCGAAAACTTGGAATCAAAAAATTAATTTGGGGGTTACCCACAACTACCAAAGGCATCTTGGAGCGATGATTCTGGAATCAATCAAACTGCTTTTGTGCTCGTGGATTGAGCATTCTTTCACTTCCCTCTTGCTTGCATTTGCTGAGTCAAGACGAAAATCATTTTGAGTTGTTCCTTTCTAAAACAAAAAAGCTAGATCAATGAATCACGTTAGAAATCCAGCTGGCTCTGTCGTTGGCAGGACCTCGAAAACCAAAAAAAGCCAGTCCTTACACGATCCGTTCAGAGACCCGCCTTTTACCAAGTTCGTCAGGTCGTCAACTTTTTGGAAAACTTGGCCTTCTGTCTGTTTCTTTCTATTAGAAGCCGGTATCATTGCTCTTTACAACCGTCCGGCCAAGTCTCTACAACTGGTAAGTAGATAAACAATTGCCTTATCAAACTGCTTATCAGAAAGCAAAACCAAGTTGATTTTTTCATTTCTTGATGATTATCTTACGGCGCTGATTTGAATACAATCTCCATCATCCCAACAGAGTTCGACTATTTTGACAGTCTTGGGTAAGAATTTCATCAAACGCTCATGTCCTGAGCATTCAGGAAGAAGCAAGCACGGCACAGAAACTTAGTGCGTGGAAACTGTTTTATATTAGGTACCGTGATTGGTTTTGCGATATCTTATCGAACCAGTAGTGCTTACGCGCAATATAATGAAGCAAGGTAGGCAGAGGAGGAAAAAGTAAGCATAATACGATTTCATGTGAATTGATGTAATATAATTTTGTCATTCTAGGAAGGCCTGGGGCAATGTGATCCATCACTCTCGAACATTATCCCGCTTGATATGGCTGCATGTTCCAAATGAACTCACTCCTCATACAAGTAAAGATCCGCCTACTGAAAACGAGGTATTTGAAGGCTCTGTTTTTTTTTTTTTGACAATTCAATATTAAGCTTGAACTGAAACATCCGTTGGTTCATGCAGACACTTCGGGCTATGACAGAGAAGAAAACGATGATCAATCTGGTTCAAGCTTTCTCGGTCAGTCTGAAGCACTATCTGAGGGGAGGTAAGGGTCATGTTTCCTTCATGTTCTGATGGTTGAATTCACACTGATTCATTGAACTCTTCGATTTGACTAGAGTATGGCATTTACTATGAGGATTTATATCGTGCGTCTTTGTTTTCTAATTCAAGAGCTTGATTGAGATTCTAAAGACAAGTTGATAGACTCTTGAATCAATGCCCCTTCTCAAGATCTCACTTGTATACTCCCAAAATACAATCAGGTTGGACCAAAATCATTCTCCGGGGTTCCCCAGCTACCCGGTAAATTTCGATCAGAAGACGCATCCTTTGTGGTGGAAGTAGAAAAGGCCTATTCTGTTTTGACTGAAGATGGGATTCCTAGACCATCAAGTCTCTTCCATGGTCCCACGGTTCAACCGGCTGATCCCATGAACCCGCCTATAAAGTTGGTTCCTGGATATAACCCACCTCGCAAGACCATATTTGATCGCTTTCGATTCCTCAGAGTTTTTAGATCTCTGGTCAAGGTACGGTTAATGCACATATTCATTCCTATTGTTTCGAATTCGAAATCTTTCCAACTTGGAATAACAGTTGTTATTAATATTAGCGAAGGAGCTCAATACTAATTTAACTCTCTACACCTGTTTTGTGTGGTTGTTTTTTCTACCTAGGGCTCCAAAAATGCTTGTCGGGTTAGACAAGCTTCTGATCGACGTTATTGCCCAGGCGAGAATATCCCGTTGGAAATTTTGTGGCACTTGTCAATTTATTTGAGCACATTGCAAGTGCGGAAGGTTATCGAGTTAGTCAATTCTGATGCTGCTTTATCTCTTTATTATCTGAGGTACATTGTGAATCAAACATGGCAGAATACTCATCAGTGTGCTCCGTTCATCTTACATAGCGTCCCCACTACAAACACTTTCAATGCAACTCTAGTTGGCTTTTCAGACGCGCTTACCAACGTGGAGAGGGTCCTCACAGTTTCGTGCTTTGTCTTCTCTGCTTTGAAAAATAAAGCAATACATTGCATAAATTGTTTAAAGCTGAAAGTCAATTTCCCTTTGATTAATTTTTTAGACCCCTATACCATTTGGTTATTTGGTACATCTGAATGTGAGGATCACTTTGCTCCTATATTCCACTTATTTATTTTGAGGAAAAAGATGAAAAATCTAACATAGACCCCATCATTGATAAAAATGGCACATTCAGACGATTATCTACGGCTATCTCACATTCTTACCATTTCAATTGGTGGGGGCCTTCAAGAAGATCGTCGTACCGGCAACAGCATTGATTGCATTCGCATTCTTAGGGTTCATGAAGATCGGTGAAGATATTGAAAACCCATTTGGATACGCCTCAAACGATTTAGATCTGGATCATTTTTGCAATGATATCATTTTGAGGGAGTTGGAAGAATTAACGTTCGCCATTTTCTTTAATTCATACTTCAATATTTGAATCCACAGAAGCACAATGTTTCACAAGCTGACTCTTTTATACCTTCTGCATAATTAAACAATTGTAGTTCAATTCCGCCGACAGATCCGATGGGCTACGTCCTGACTTCGTGCAACATGCCCTTATTTGAAAGCGGATGTTTCCAAACCGCTACTGACATTTTGAATACCTTAAGCCCAGAAGATTTAGAATATCTCTTATCAGAGCCTGTTAGGATAAGAAAAGCAGAAAGTCAAGGTGTTTCTTATCCTCCTGGGAAAACCCTAAAAGTTCAAAACAAAAATTGAGAATGCATACAATGATGGAATCAACATTGCGGGGAAGATGTTGTTTCCGCTCCGGGAGGTAGATTTTGATCACTATCTCCTGACCAATTAGCCTGATCCTGAAGATCCTGGAGACAGATTTTAGTGAAATTTGGCTCTGTGTATGCAGATTAAGCTATCCAGTATGAAGGAGGCATATATTGGGTTTTAATTTAATCATTAGAGTTATCTAAAATTTCTACCTTTCCCTTGAAGCCAGAACTCCTATTTCAAGCTTGCTACACCCTTTTTTATTCTTAGTAAGGGAATGATCTAGAATATTTCTTTTCTGTATATATTAATCCGTTACCATGTACAGAATTGCAATTGAAGTACACTGTTTCAGTCTCCAAAGAGAATCTGTTCTTCTTTTTCTCTTTCTTCTCACCACCTAATTCCACTGAAATTCATCAAATAATTGACAGGTGTTGGTATTGATATTATGAGTAGAAGAACTGAGCCCATGATCCTGAGTCTTATCACTGATTTTTACCCAATGAGAAATTACCAGGAGGAGAATGTTTTGGATTCAAGTCAAGGTTTTTGATTTTGCATGGGGGTGTTGAATTTTGCAATGTGCCTTTTTTACAGCTTCAATTTTCCACCTTTCCATGTAAAAGTAGGATTTGTATATTTTGAGTTGTAGAAAAAAAATCAAAACATGGTCTTGAGATAGTGAACATCTGTCTGGAAACCAGGAAAGATGATATGAATATTTAGCACTTAATGTCTTTGAGACAGTTTTGAAGCTTCTCTTTATATTGGACCAGTCAGATGGTATGAGAATCAGGAAAAATATTCAGAAGGTAGTTCATGAGAGGAAAAAATGAGACAATGAAGCCAGAAAAAGAATGGATTGTAATTTGTTAGAAATTCTGAAAAGAAAAGGAATCACAACTAAAGATATCTGGGGAGTTATAATTTCCTGGCCCTTGACGATTCATATGGGGAAAAATTTACTCATAAATAATTCAACAATTGATGCTTGAAATTTTCAGCTATGACTGCAATTTTGGTATTTGAACAATAATTCTTCAAGTCATGCAAAGTGTATGTATTGGAGGGGATTCCTTTTGATACAACGGCTCATGAAATGTATCCCAAAGCACCAGGAAAAGTAAAGGCTCACTAGATGCTGGTTGACATCAACTTTAACTAATCTCATTTTATCTGAAGTATGGGAAGTTGAATCACATATCCAATGTCATTTTATTTCAAAGAGAAAACCAAACACAATTTGTTTTTGACTTGATACCCAAAATGATGCATATCTGCATTGACCAATTGAATCATATTTTGTTGAAGTTAGATTGTAACAAGGAAGGCAATATTTTTCTCGAGTTTTGTAGGAAACCCGTTGGGTGGGAATAGGGGTATGTAATGTATGAATGCTTCCTCCCAAGATGGTTGGCAATTTTAAAGCTTGCAAGCATCGGTTCGGGTTAAAACCAAGCCCATCAAAGTCACCATTTCAACCTATTACAAACAGAAGGTTGAAAAGAAAGAGAATCTGTTAATAAGATAGCGATATATAATTTTCGTGCCAATGGAACGTACCTGGGGTGAAGTGGCGGTACAAGACAGGGTGAAAGTACGAGCTCCTTGCGCTCCAGGCTTTAGCCAGGCTTCCCAGCGGTATTGCCCTAGTTTTTAGAAACCAGAAGTGTGAGTTGACTTCCACTGAGCTGCCTGGGTGAAGTGATTCAACTAAGCACTTACTTTCCAGCAAGCCCACATACGCATCCTCCTTACCTTTCCTAGACTCGTAAATCTTTCCTGGAATGAGTGGAAGAAATAGGCCACCACATCATTAATCTGGCTAATCTGGACATCAGATTTCAATGTGGTACTTACCTCCTCTATCCAAATAGTTCCTCTCGTAGCGGTAGATGATCTCCTCGCCCTCCGGTGTTATATACCGAAAATTGTACACGTCGGCCTTTGGACCGCGAGGATCGATTTCAAACATGTGATGCGATTCAGAGCCGTTGGTCTCAACGTAGTGTGTTTTGCTAAAGCAAATGTCGTCTTGCTGTGAAAGAGAAGGCCAGCAATAGATTAAGCCATTTGATGACTGGGTTTTGATTTCGAGATGCAAGCCGAGCAAAACTTACCGAGTTAAGGGTCAGCAAAGGCTGGTGGTATTGATTTCTCAGAACCACTGAAGACATCCCCTGGCGAATATCTCGGACAGATTTATCAAATATGTAGGCAATCGAACCATTGGGATAATAGACCAGCAAGCCATCTTGTGAATACTCTAGCTTATCCTTCATAATGTACATGTTGGCGAAGGGATTGTGATTATTGTCACGGTCTCGCCGGGTGAGCCTGGAAACTGAGCTTTGTGAGGTGTGGCTTGCAAAAACAATGCCCACAAAAAGGGTCGTAACTACAGTTAAGCTTGAAATGTGCATCTTGAAAGGGTACTTGAGTAAGAAAATGTGTGCCGGGCAGGGATGTTTTCGAATCTCAACTCCAGTCTCCTTAAATACACATGGCGGCCGCTACCGACCTTCTCTGATCATTTGTGCTTCGGTCTGACTTGTTCTCATCGTTCCATTGCTTGTGTCTGAGATGCTCTCTTTGGTGTTGCTTGGTCCTGACACTTCCTGGACGATTGCGACTGGTCATACTGAATGCGGAACGGCCCATCTACAATTAGCAACATGGATCGTGTACATTTCAAGCTGCAAGTTTCTCTGACTTCGAAGATTCCCGTCGGCTGGTTGAAGCAGTGCGCGAAGTCAAAGTTAGCCTGTTATTCGGGTCAGAGTGAAGAGGACGAGCCGGAGACTAATTTTCCATATCCGCTCTGGATGGAGACTCACTCCAGAGCTTACTTCATGTGTTCAAACTTTTAATGTAAATCATTGCACTGCTTGAAGGGGGTCTTGAATGTTCCATCGCGGCAGCCAAACCGACAGCTACGGAATACACTGAAGGTGGGTGTAGAACAGGGGCGGTGCTGATCTAACTTGACGAAGTCACTCCCTCCTGGACATGGAGTGCTGGGTGAGACATTGTGGGTTCCTGTGGGGTGATATCCTCCAAAGTCAGAACGGGTTTCTTCGTGCTCCTAAGGTGCTAGCACGGGATGACAGCAATTGGTCCCTTGGCACTCAATCCTTGTTGATGGCCAGTTCAAAACTAGTCATCAAGAGAGATAAGTTTTTCGAATTTCTACTCAGGCCACTGAATCGGTAACTTACAACTGGCTGAAGCAGCATGTGAAGATATGTAGCTGCACCAGGGTGGTTAGGACCAGAGTGAACATCTTCTTTGAGGATCATAACCTAACTTCTCAAAAGTTGTCAACTGGAAGGTGATCAGCCAAATGCTAATAAAATTGTGTGCTGATCGCACTTCAGGTAACATTTATAAACAGTGCAATATGTACACATAAATTCGGGCCTTTGGAAGTCACCCCCAAGCTTGCAGATCAGGAGTGCAAAGGCCGGTTTTGTGGCCATGAGTGAGTATTATTATAGACAAAACAACGGAAAAACAAGTAGTAAAATACAGCATGGTTGATTTAATATTTCTGGTAAGAGCCTGAGGACTGTGAGTGGGATGGTGGCTCGGTGTGGAAGATTGCAAGAAGTGGTTGAGGTTTCGGGTTGAGAATAAATTGATCACAGTAGGGTGGGTGCAGAGCTGAAAGTGCATATGAAGCTTGTCAGAAACGGGTGACATATCATCGTCTTCTTCGCTCGGATTTTCCCTCTGTATATTTTCGGTCTTTGTATCGTTCCTCTTTGTATCGTTCCTCTTTATATCGTTCCTCTTTATATCTTTCATCTTTGTATCTTTCATCTTTGTATCTTTCATCTTTGTATCTTTCATCTTTGTTTCTTTCCTCCTTATATCTTTCCCCTCTATGTTTTTCGTCCTTGTATTTTGTGTCTTTGTGTGAGATGGGCTTGACTTTGTATTTATCAGCCGGCTCTCCATCGAGTACGAGAGGCTTCGCGCCGATCCCCAAGAGACTAGGCCGAGCTTGAGGCACGTAAGCCTCGACCAAGCCTGCTCTTCCTCGTTTGGTGGCCGCGGTGCCCTCCTTCCAACCCATTCCTTTCAGCAAGGCCAGGCCGAATTGTCCAACAGGGATCCGCTCGTAATCCTCTAGTGTCGATGAATCCGGTCGTTTCGAGACATCTTTCCGAAACTGGGCCGTCTCATCCCCGGATTCTCCTGAATCATCGCCTTCATCTTCTTCTTCTACTCCATCCGAACCCGTATCCTGTCGAGCTTCGTTCCTCATCGGAATCGCTTCAATCTTGGGCTGGTTGGTTGAATCGACATTCGCTTGGGAGAGTAATTCCTTGACTGCGCGTTCTTCAATCGTCAGTGGTTTGTCTGTTGTTGTAGAAATGACAGTCTCAAAAATTTCGACAGCTTCAATGGATTCCGATACGGGTACGTGTTCTTCAATCTTCCGTGTTGATTTGAGCGTTGGGGGAGCTTTGAGACCGCCTTCGATAACCTTCGAATTCATCTTATCGAGTCCTTCGGTATTAATGTTGTCCTGATTGGACTGCTTTTTGGGAGCTCCGCCCATCGAATTGACGGGCTCGGGTCGGTACAATTCCTTCTGTGCCCGTTTCTGCTTCCTGGCTAGATGGATCGCTCGGAAGTCTCGGTCAGGTAGTGCTGGGATCGAGATCATCTGTTGCTTTGTCCGGCCGTGTGGATTCGTTGACTCCCTGAGTTATTTTCAAGTAAAAAAAAATCATGTTGATTAGGATTATGGATTTGTTTTGGGATGAAATAAAAACAAACCGAGTAGAGTCGAAGTCAGAGATGAACTCGATAGGTCTCTTCTTCCTATTTCGATGTTCGTCTGCGTGGTGGTCTTCATCGGATGAGTCTGGGTTGAGATGGTTTGAGTTCTGTCGACTGTTGTTCTGCGTTGATGGTCTTTTGTTTGTTGTTGTTGCTGTTGTTGAGGATCTCTCGATCTTGAATGAGAATGACATAGCTTGATGTTCTTCTTTCTTTCTTTCTTTGCCTTGGTGGTGGTGGTGGTGTTGGTCTGCTCTACTACATTCTTTCGACTGGACTACAGAAAAACCAGAGCTGGGCCACGGGTGTACTCGGGGAACCCGTCGACTCCCGACTCAACTCGCCTGCTCTGGTTGTAACTTGCATGTTGTAGATGCTGATCTGAATGAAAATTACCTCCTTCTCGTAGGAATCATATGCCAATGATGCTGTTTCTGAAGCTTCCAACATGAAATCACAATTCAAGTTTCCAACAAACTTGTGGGTGAACATAAAAACAAAGGAGAAGTCTCTATACTGTAGGTGGTTAGGCTAATTTCAAGGCTTTGCCATAGTTTTCCTTTGCTAAAACATTTTGATCTAGCAGAAACAAAGCACTGATTTTTTTTTGACTTGTTTTCCTTGCATTTGATATTGATTGCAGTACATAAGATCAACGATAATGTGATTCAAATCAATAATTAATGAACCTACTTTAGGAGGGAGTGCAAAGAATTACTTACACAAGCTCTACAGAATATTTTAATCAAATTGAGATTCAATTATGTATAGCACTCAGCAAAAGTGATTTTTTAATGATTAATGTAAGTTTCTCATCAAACTCATGGAAGTTCAATAACTATGAAGTTGGGGTACCTCTAGTAGTAATGTAACAAACATGTCAGGATTTTGGAAAACTCATATATTTTTTGGGGGGAAATCCATATCTGCTTCATGAGTATGCTCAAGTTGCAGGGAAATGGGATATTCTCACAAGAAACTTCTAGCCCACTGAAGTAGAAAAGAAAACACTTACTGAGGCCACATTTATTGTTGTATATGTGGAAAATTAGGCAAAACTCAAGTGAAATCTTCATTTTTTCCACATGCCACACAGGCACATTATTTATGATACTTGATTACAACACAAACAAACTGGTCATGAGTAGGTAAAATGGAAGAGAGATGACAATTAATCAGAGCATTGGAGTAAGGAATGACTAAACAGAAAGCTTGATAAGAAATTGGATAGTGAAGAGGGAAGATAGGAGCCAGAAGGGAAGTGATGGATAAAAGGAAATATGATAAAAAGGGGTACCTGGACCCATGTCAAGCACATTTGGTAGATGAAAAAAATTAGTCTTTTCTTACTCTGAGGATTTTCTTGTCTCAAACCAGTCAGATAACTAAACCAGTCAGATAACTGATCAGCTAAGTAGCTAAGAAGCTAGACAGGAACTGTCCCATGAGGACAGCTCACAGCTAGCATTTTAGATAGATTGCTGATATCAAAAACAGCAGTAAAATTTATGAAACATTTGACCACATCAGCACTGAACCAGAAGATAGAGACACCACAATCATTAAGCTGGTCTGTGATATCCCCATATTTTGCAGAAGATGATAGCAACAAACAAACAAGTTTCTTTTTGGCCCATCTATCACATATGTATATGCGTTTAGGACTGCGGCCGTCCCATACAACCCAGGCATGGGTCCTATGGGACAGCCCAGATCCTAAATGCATATACAAGAAGGGTTCCCAATAGCCTTTTCAGCTTCTGACATCCCTTAATTTCTTGCTTGCATGTTGCTCACATAAACTTCTGAGCTGAAAATATCAGCCTTGTCTCTACATTTTAGACCCAACACAGTGCTACAGCTTCTTGAGCAGAATAAGAAGGCTTCTCAAAAGATGCTGTTGTCAACCAGGCAATTAATTAAATGGTAAAATTGTACCAAATCAGCAAGCTAGCTGAGAAGACAGACATGAACCATGATATTTGTGTTCCCATTTCAACAACAAAACCTCATTGTTTGTTGCTCTACTGGTGGATTCTTACTTCATTGAATTGACTACCTCAACCTTGGTTAGTGTAAGTCAGACCTCAATCCCCCACCTGCCACCACTATGGAAATCTATCCACCCCTTTCTTGAATTCCATATCATAAGAATCATAAATGCCATAGAACAAGGTGCATGATTCCTCAAATAGCTTCAAAATGCTTGTCAACTGGTGGAAGGTAAGCAAGGTTTTCTTGCAGTCTATGCCCACCCTTAGTGCTGCTTGGATGAAGAGTTGGATTGGAATTCCTACATAAATCATGCCAGCATCAAGAAAAATTGGGCAAATTTGTTTTCTTTTCATCCTGTTCCATTAGTTCTGGTCCTTTTCTCCTGCCACTGGCCCAAATGCCCCACCTGGGCAAGGATGATAGCCCCTCTATGTACCTGGACTTATAACCTGCAAGCTTGGAGCCTATAATGGGTTGCTTTCTTGTGATAAATAGATACGGATACAGTGACAAAATCAGTCCAGCTTGTTGGTCTGTCTTGAGATTCATGGTGTAGGAGTGAGGTAAGCTATTCTTCGGACTGGTCGCGTCATCATCGTGAAGACCCAGGCGCCGTTGGCAGTCAGATGGGTGTCCAGACAGATAGATAAATACGTAGCTTGCAGATAAGAAATGGAAAGCAAGATCAGATGAACCCCGTCGGGAGACTTTGAGAGAGGGAGAGTAGGGTACCTGAGCAAAAATAAATAAATACGTGGGTGGAAGATTGAGGGAGTTCAGGTTAGCGTTAGCGGCGATGAAGATCTCTCGATCTTCGGCCAAGGCCCCGAATCCGATGGAAGCGCTGTCCGGACTCCGGAGTCCCGAGCTCCGACCCCGACGGGCGGCATTCAGACGCAGCCACTCGCCGGCCCCGACTCCGACTCCGAATGCGAGAAAACAGAAAAAGGAATTCCCAAGGAAACTCAAAGTCCAACAACGAACCTACAATCCACCGCCAGCGGAGATCGAACAAACCAGGACCATCATCACCCGCAAGGACCAGAGTACAACAGGTAAGACTGATGAATTCAGCTTCTTGGTGTTGTGTCTTACTGATCATGCATTAGAGAAAACAGTATCGAGCTACCTACATCGGTCATTGCCCCGCTTATCGCTTCCAGAGATCACGTCCCCTAAAGTCTTCACCTGGATCGATCCACATCAACACACACACGACTCTTGAACGACAAGTCGACAGCGACAGACAATTGGCTGAGGAAAGAGATAAATATCGACTTCAACGCGAGGAGGTCATAATAACTAGAATCGGAACATAGCAGGAACGGATGGCCGTGAGTGCTTTCAATTTCATCCACCATTGTCAAGTCTCTTTTTCTCTCAACCGCAATATATGCACATCGTAAATAACTTCCCATGGACACCTCCTAGGACTCAACATCTTCCGCGAACCACCCACTTCCTTTGGCCTCAATGGATCCAAACTTGAAATCTAACAACCCAACTCGCCCCTCGGCACCATCGTCTGCTCCCGATCCACCCAAGCCCTCGGCCAAGCAGGATGCTTATCGCGCGATGGTCAAAGACATGCAAAAAATAGCCGTCAAAGCCAGAGCTACAAGTGGCCAACTTGTCAATGCGCCCGCTCCAAACCGGACGGGTGTGCCCTTTGGCCCAACAGATGAAACTTTTGGTAAATTCTTGATAAATGAATTCATTGCTTTGGAACAACATGCTAATGTTGTGAACCACCATCTGTTTTTTTGGTAGGTGGTGATAGGAAGGACCGACCATCTTCACATCCCGCAGACGACTCTGATTCTAATCCGTTGGGGATCGATTTGAGCGAAGGTCCTAGGGAGTTTATGACTCACCAACAGAGCGAGGATGCTCTGCGTGAGCTGGTCGAAGGAATGTACGAGGGTGACATGGATGGTGTTGATGTTGATGCTGTGATGCCCGAGGGATTGAGCTGCAAGCTCCTCCCACATCAAGTTGTCGGTGTAAACTGGATGAAAAGTAGGGAGGAAGGCAGAAAGAAAGGAGGTATTCTGGCTGACGATGTAGGTTAACTCATCCACTATAAAGTTACCCACTCTCTTTCTAACATTCCCTATCACTTTTCCTTCACTTTGGCAGATGGGATTTGGAAAAACGGTCCAGTCAATCGCGTTGATAAGTGCCCACAAGCAAACAGAAAAAGGCGCGCCCAAAACAACACTTGTAAGCAATTTTTCTTCCATCGAAAACCCTCCGCTTTGGATTAAAATACAAAATTACTTGACCCACTGCTCAGGTCGTATGTCCCCTAGCTCTGAAGGACCAATGGGTAGATGAAGTCGAGCAAAAATCGGATTTGTCTGTGATTCTATATCATGGTTCCAAGCGTCATCAAATCGCACACAAGTTGCACAAGTATCGGGTCGTCGTCACTACTTACGATGGTAAGCATTATCACTAACTGTGCAAGCCATAATTTCCATTTGAATTGACCTGGTTCGAAAAAAAAATGTCCCACACAGTCGTCTCCTCTGAATGGCAGAACCCCAAGAAAACGGCGCAGGCTGGCGATGAGTCCAGCGAGGATGAAGATCAATTGGGCGATGGTCCAGGTGCGAAAAAATCCAAGGCAACTCGTGCCAAGAAGACGAAACCCTGTCCACTTTTCACCAAGGAAGATGGATCCCCTATGCGGTTTTGGAGGATCATTTTGGACGAAGCCCATGTGATAAAAAATCGCAACGCTCAAAAGACCAAGGCATGCTCCGAATTAAGGGGCAACTACAAATGGTGCTTGACAGGTACTCCTATCCAGGTAATTAGTATTCCATGTTTGTTTACATTCTACAACTCTATAGGACGAGGATCTTACTTCATTATTCAATTTTACAGAACGGAGTTGAAGATATCTTTCCTTTGCTGCGTTTCATCGGGCCTTCAGTAAAACCATTCAATGAGTACCCCGAGTTCCAGGAAAAAATCTTGAAGCCAATGAAAAGCAGCAATGGGAAAGGAGCAATTGTCAAGATCCAAGCTCTCTTGAAAATCATCTTGCTTCGCAGGTCGAAAGACTCAAAAGACAAAGCCGGAAATCCCATACTGAAGCTTCCTGGTAAAGAACTCATTCTATTGCGGACTCCTTTCCGAACTAGGTACAGTCTGACTAGCTCCACACCATCAACTTGCTTTTGCATTATACTGAATCAGTTATCCGTATGTGGACTTTGCAGTGAAGAAACTCAATTCTATCAAACCGTCACTGAACGGATGACGGAGCGGATGGCAAAGATTTCGGCTAGTGGCAACATGCAGCGAGTGAGTTATCGCCTCCTCATTTTCATGATCCTGGGGCACCGTAGTTTTTCTGACAAGTTGAACAACATGTGTAGAGCTACATCACAATTCTTACATTAGTTCTCCGCATGCGGCAAGGTCAGTATCTTGGTTCCCATCAGCTTGCGATGTTGGAAGTACTGATATTTTGCTACACCAGCAACTCTACACCCTGCGCTTGGCTCAGACAAAGCCGACGCTGAGAACTTGGAAGCCACAGATGCCAAAAATTCAGCACCCCAGGAAGATCTGGAGGATAAAGTAGACAGTCTGGCCGACATGATGGACAGTATGGGTGTCAAACAGGACCAGCCGAAATGTTTGATCTGTTTGGAAATCTTACCACCTGAAGTAGCCGACGCGGTTCACTGTACAGCATGCGCTAGACAACTCCGACTTGCAAAAACCTTTGAAGGCATGCAGAGCTCTACCAAAGTGTCACGATTATTGGAACTCTTGGATGAAATTAAAGCCGAGGATACCAAAACACCCAAAAAGACAATTGTGTTTTCACAGGTTAAGTTGACTTTGACAACTTTCTCCATCTTTCAGAATGCTTGAAGCTGATCTTGATCATCACTCCTTGTTATGAAACAGTTCACCTCGTTCTTGAACTTGATTGAACCTTTTATCAAGAAAGCTGGCTATGGCTACACACGATGTCAGTCCAGTTTTCAGATTAGTTTCTCTCTAAAGGCACTGATTTTGAATATACCCCCAGATGATGGAGCCAAGTCGCCCGATGAAAAAACTCGCGCACTGGAGAAAATTAAATCAGACCCAAAGTGCACTGTTTTGTTGATCTCCTTGAAATGTATGTTGGCTTTATATTCTACCTGGTCTTGACTTCCCTTCAAGTTGACAAACACCTCATGTGCCTTTCGGCGATTGTATTAACAATTGTTTAGGTGGAAGTGTTGGCTTGAACTTGACCTGCTGTTCAAGAGTTATTCTCATGGATCCATGGTGGAATCCTTCAATTGAGACTCAGGTAAGATCTGATATTTTGAGGCTTTTGGGATGAACGAGACCTACTAATTAAGCATACTTTTCACTTTGCAGGCATTTGACCGAGTAAGTAGTCCCAATAACCCTCACATGGAAGCACATTGAACTCAGATAATCTATATGTTTTATGCAGGCCCATCGATTTGGACAACGAGATGATGTGTAAGTGGCTTGATTTGAATTGTTGGAATGCAAAACATACTAACCCACATGAATATACAGGAAATGTTATAAGATAACCATTGCAGATGTGAGTTATCATAAGGGTGTTCTCACCAAAAAGAATACTTCACTAAGGTTCTAATAAACCTCTGGTGATTATAACATGTGTGCAGACAATTGAGGACCGTATCCTTCAGTTGCAAGAAGACAAGCAATCCCTTGCCAATCAAGCTCTAGGGACGGAAGCTGCCAAGAAGATGAACAAATTATCTGTTGCTGAAATCCTTTGTGAGTTCCTTATCATGTGGACTTGTGAAAGATTTTAGCAATCAGTTTTGGCTGATGTTTCGGATCTTATTTTGACCTGGTTGGTTTACAGATTTGTTCAGAGGATGATGACTTGGGTCTTACATTGCATCCATTGTGGTGTTCTAAAGATACAGGGTCTCTCAGAAGTAAATTTCATGATTTTAGATCAATCTCAAGAAATTCTTCACAATCAACAATTGAATCTTTTTATAATCAAAATACCCACTTTAATCTCTTTTATTATTCTAGTATACTGATTCATTATTATTATTATTAGTTTTTGATTCTGATCTCAGAAGAAAGTTTGATTTGATTCTTTTTCTTGGTCCTAAGACATCTGAGCATGTTGGTTTATTCTACTCTTATTGGATTTGACTGCTTTGCTTTGTCGTTATTTTTTATTTTTTATTTTTTATTTTGGTTTGTTGTTTTTCTTTTCTGCTTGAATTTTGTTGTAGTTAGGGATGTAATGAGATGTCTGAGCCACGTAACTCCTAAAGAACATGAAGAACTGAGCATAGATTTCTTCAAGTTCATCAAAATGATAAAAGTAATCACATCCTTTTATGGAAAAGAAAAAGAGAAGAATGAAGAGATGTTTTACAGCCATTTCGAGAAAGGTTGCGGTTTCCAACCTGGACTTTTTTTTCTTTTTTTCTTTTTTAGGGGCTGAATACAGGGCCTGTATATGGGCTGGATAACT